TTTATTTTATTTTATTTTATTTTATTTTATTTTATTTTATTTTATTTTATTTATTTTTTTTTTTTTTTAACCGTTCTTTAGTCCTTTTCCCACCTAACCGTTTTTAAAGCAATTGCCGTGAACGCGTTCTGTGCTCCTCCCGATGGCACAGCAAACCCGTGACAAAGAAAGGGCATTTAAAAAAAAAGAAAATTGCATCTCTGAATATTTTGCTCTTTTTTATACAAATGATTAATTAGGACTCCTTATTTGTGGAGGCTAAAGATGCATTTAATTTGGATTTTTTAACAGATGGTTAATAGATGTTAAAAACACACTCGCTGATTGTAAATGTCCACTTACTGAGAATCAGTAACCATGTAATAGGTATTTTATGTATTACTACATAGATATTAAATTAAAATTCGATTTTAATAACATTTTAGTATTTTACTAGCAATCAGCAACCATCCTATAGAATCTAAGGTGCATGCATACATATCCAGCAATCTCAATTTAGAAGGTAATCCAAGAGGCTTAATTATCACCATCACCATATCTCCCTTCGTATAATGTAAATGTAATTTATGATTATTGAGCCTAAAATGTCAGCCACAAAAGAAATTACCGAGCTATTGGTACAAAAGTACATCACTCATAAAAACAACAAACCATCAGGCATTTAAAAATTAATTACGCCGACGTACCATAGCTGACCTGTCACAGTCAATAAGTGTGAATTGCTTATTTACAGAGGCAGAATGCAGACCTGGTACAGTGATACAAGGGCTGGACCTTCCCGGAGCAGAAAGTATTCTCTTAATTTCAGTAGACAACATAGTCCTATCTGGCTGCGCCCAGCATCTGATTTTCAAGAACTGGCTCTCTGCAGAAAAGAAGGCTTTTGACGAAATCTCAATCTACTAACCATAATGCTGCCAGCTGTTTGTCTTCTGGCGTGGCGTTGGGGCCTGAGTGGGTTTTTAGTCTCACTGCATACCTTAAGCAAAAGGAAAAAAGCCAATGTGAGTTAACTGAGACAGCTTTATATTACTGATCAGAGAGCTAAGCTGGCCAATGTCATTTGATCTGCCCCCTTATACGTATTTGCTCAAGTTACCAGACATACACGTGCTTTTTCTGGTTGTGTTTCAGAGCTATTTTGCCATTAGCAGTGCCTCCCTGCGCTCTTTAAACAGCAGTAACTCCCTTGAACATCCGTCAGTCCAGAGGGGAGCCTAGCTGGCGAGGTGCTGCTGTCCTGCTGAAATAAACTCGGCTCG